ACTGTTACTGTCCCTTATTCTATGAATGCTAACGGTGAGATTGCGTTCAGTGGAATGCAACTCAGCCGACAAGGCTTCAGTGGTGCTCAAGTGCGCCAAGGATTCGATGCAACTCAAGCTCGAACTCTACAAGCTGTGAAAACTGGATATTTTGATACGTCAAATGTCTTTCACGATGCTATCAAGGAAAAGGATGAGAATGGCAATGATGTCTATCTTATTCCATGTCCTGCTGGTACGACAAATTTCAAACTTCAATCCGACTGGCACTATGCTAGTGAAGATGAAGATTTGCCTGATCTTGCTACTGAAGCAGATCGAGGTCTGCAGTTTATTCAAAGCCACAGAAAGGAAAGAGATCCATTTGGGTTATACGATCATGTCATCATGGACAGTGGTTGTACAAACACCACCATTTGTAATTCTGAGCTCATGCATGGACTCCGTCATGCTGAGAAAGAACTTGACATGCACACTAACGTGGGCAGCAGAGTTCTCAACAAAGAAGGTTTCCTAGGAAGATTTCCACCTCCAGTCTATCATGATGAAGATGGAATTGCCAATGTACTTGCTATGCGCGAGATGATTGCTGCGGCATACCGCATTACTATGGATACTGATGCTGACAATACTTTTATTGTGCATTGTGATGGAAACAGAAAGATGTGATTTGTGAATTGTAAGGGTGTGTATGTGTTGGAGCAACTTGGAGTGAATGTTGAACCAGGTGCCAAAGAGACAAGTGCAATGTACTGTCGCCAGTTAAGCAACTTAAATAACCAACCCCATTTTGAACTTTCTTCAAACAAACAGAATGGATATGCTGGACTTGAGATGACCTCCAAGATGGCAACCGTTCAAAAGAACAAGGAAGAATTCACTCCAAGACAAGTCAAGGCTGCGATGGAAGCGAGAAGTGCAATGCACATACTCAATGCTCCAAGCACCAAAAGTCTGAAGTATGCAATCCGATCTGGTCTCATCAAGAACTGTCCTATCACCAAGGAAGCGATCAATCATGCCAAAGCAATCTTTGGACCTGATGCCTCTACATTGAAAGGCAAGTCAACAAGACCAACTCCAAAGAAGACGTACAACGACTTCTTCAGTCCACCAGAGGAATTATATCAGCACAATCGATCTATTACCGTCTGTATTGATCACATGGAGATCAAGAATGCTAAGTTTCTCACCTGCATTGATACCACTGTGCGTTATCGCTCATGTATTCCCGTGCAGAACCTGAAGACTGACCCTGTATTTGAAGCATTGGATAAGATATTCCGCCGCTATAACAAGGCAGGCTTTCAAGTCAAGATCATCAAGTGTGATTGGGTGTTCATTCCTCTCATGGATGATATGCTAGACGATATGGGTGTTACTATTGACCCGACTGCAGCTGGAGACCATGAGCCTACCGCTGAGCGAAACAATAGGACGCTGAAAGAAAGAGTCAGAGTAGCTCTTGCACAATTACCCTACAAAGTGGTCCCAAAAGTGATCACTGAATGTCTTGGACGTCCAGCCGCCGAGCTATTGAATGTCTTTCCCCAGAAAGACAGTATCTCATCACATTTCAGTCCGCAGCAACTCATTGATAATGTCAATATCAACTACAAGAGTGGCATGGTTGCTGAACTTGGACAATATGTTCATGCAATTGGGACGGATTCCAACAATTCGATGGAACCCCAAAGTATCGAAGCGATTTGCATTGAACCTATAAAGGGACAATGTACTGGGCACCAAGTGCTCAACCTCAATACTAAGAAGATGATTTCCCGACCCAAGGTTGTTGTACTACCCGCTACCGACCAAGTAATCCAGCGTGTTGAAGCTTAGAAGAAGCCTTTGATCAGGACTATGAACCTGAAGATTAAGATGAACGTGATTTCAATCTACATGGACAATTCGATGATATCAATGACTCCAAAAGAGAAGAGCTCTTGGCAGATGTAGACAATGATGTTGATGATATGCCAGAGCTTACTGTCAGATTCCAAGGAGATGATGACTATGAATCAGACGGCGATTTCGGTGATGAAGGCGATGAAGAGGAAGAACCTATTGTGGCCAATTTGGATCACCGCCAAGAAAATGTCGATAGAGGAACCGATGATATTGGGAGCCTCGTTACTGATCTGGAGGACCTACAAGAGCTGCCAGAAGAAGAGATTGTATTTGAGCCTGAAGAGCCTCAAGTAGCAAAAGTCACTTGATCTGGACAAACGTATGCGCAAGCTGCAATGTCTGGGCCAAACCTTTCCCAAGTTCCAAAGAGACCAAGAGAATGGCCTTCAAGCAGGAGTGGCAGTTCTGCCAATAAAAACAAGAATCGAGTTGCGACAAGACGCAAGCATCGAGAAAGAGAATTGAAACCGTTGAAGAACAAGTTAAAATCTGGTATTCGTACCAAAGAAGGCAGTCACAGTACTAAAGACAGTAAAGCTATCCTTGAAGCACAGCACAATCTATGTTTCCACCAGATTGGGAATGAGATGAAAGCTGATTATGAAGAGCTCGACGCTATTCTGATCGCTTGTTGCATTATGCAGATCAAGGCCAAGTTTGATACTGACGAAGGTCTGAACTTCATCCAACAGTTTTACATCAATCATGGACTGAAGAAGTTTGGTGATGATGGAAAGGATGCTGTGGATAAGGAATTGAGACAAATGCTCCTAAGAGATTGTTTCACTCCCGAATTTGTTAAAGACATGGCCGCGTCTGAGCGAAAGAAGGCCCAATCAGCGATGATGTTACTTGCGGAGAAGCAATTCAAAAAGACAATTAAAGGTCGCCTAGTATACCAAGGCGATGGAACTCGTGAATGGTTATCGCGAGAGGACACTGCAAGTCCAACTGCTTGGCAGGAAGCAATCACCATTACTTGTGTTATTGATGCACACGAAGGTAGAGATATAATGACGCTGGACGTACCTAACTGACAGAAATAAATGAATATAGACTATAAGCCTATAGTTGACTAGTTCCTACAAGTTGATCGTTATCAATTCAAGTAAAAAGCATTCAGTGAGGATTGGACAATCCTCGCTTGTTTCACGCAGAAAATTACGCACGATTGCGGAACCTGCCACGTTGGTTCTTTCTACAATAATATCACTGGCTGAGAACGGTCTGCGCACGTACAATACGTACAAAGCACAGACTTCACTTCAACCGTGAATAATCATGGTCCGGGTCACGAATCCCGTTCCTGATAGAATTCTGTCACTCCCCAAATGGGATGAAGTGACCTATCCCTCGTCAATGGTGTCTCCTTGCCAGAACAGTAAGGTTCGGAGCTGCGGCCAAACTTGTTGATATCCCCAATGTTTGCTGAGGATGTCTGCAGGGTTCTTGTCACCATCCATGTGAATGAATGAAAGCATGTTGGATGCAACAGCTTCTCTCACACGGTGGAATGACAGTGCAACATGTCGCTTGTGGAGTTTTGCGTCGGGTCTGGATGAACTGTTCACAACAGATTCATTGTCTCCAAACATGTAGCTTCGACCTTGGATTGGTACTCCGAGATATCTCAATGTGTATCGCAGATCCATGATCTGTTCAACACAAGTCCTTGCAGCAACAAATTCAGATCCGTATGTGGCAGTCTCAACAGTAGATTGCTTCTTAGAGAAAGCGTCAATTGGAGTCCCATTGATCAAATGCAGGATACCTGTAACTGAGCGTCCTGTTAACATACAGTGATACAGATTTGCATCCACATAATGTGTCAGAATCACAGCAAGTCCAAGTGGTGTTGGTGCATCATCTGGGATCTCTTCAACTTGTTAGAATAAAGCAAAATGTGCTCTATCGTGAGTGCCTTTAGCGCTCAGAACAAACTCTCTGCAATCTAAATTCGTAATCGACTGTACAACACTTTCACGACAATAGTTCTCCTGTGTCTAGG